ATTTTATGTCATACTGTTATAATCGTGGTTGTTCATTTTAAATAAAGTCAACGTTTCAAATAATGACTTGAGTGTGAGTTTGAGAGCCAAACACTCAGAGATCAGATTCCTCTCTTCAGTCACAAGAGATAAGAGATTGTTAAAGACTGTGAGCACAGAAGCACCACCCACCTGTGGTTCAAATCTTTTGTTTACAAAGGGTAGCCAATCAGAAAAAGGTTAGTGTACGAGAGGGGGGAGATACCTTATTTTAGACTCTGGAGAAACACCAGAGTATGATAAATAAGGATTATTTGAACTCTGAGTCATGAAAAGCTACTGCAATAGAGTCTAAGAATAAAAGTATTGGGAGTGAGCATAATTAGTTTCATTTGATTCATTGACTTTCATGCACAAAAGACCTTGGACTTGATTATTGTCAAATTAAACTAATTTGCTCTGAGGCAAAAAAAAAAATCCTGTTACAAGCTGAGCTGAACTCCTGCTCTGCTGGATGGGGATCTGGGGCTTTTGAGGCTCGGTTATCGTCTTGGGCTGCTTGCCATGGTGAGACTGCAACAAGTAATCCAGGTGAGTTTTCATTCCCACGGAAATACTGCAATTTTATCCAGTTACCAACATCTTAAATTCACACAGAAGGTTCCTTGGCCATCTACCATAGTCCTCCCGTGTTTGGGCAAAAGTGAGGAGGGTCTCTCTCTCTTGCATGAGGCTCATAAAGGACCCTTTGGCATCACATTTAAAGGCACTGGGTTCTCTTTTTTTAACATGCAGGATTAACCTAAAACACCTAAACACATAAACAAAAATGCCCTGTGAGTAAAAGCGAATCCAAGTGTGCTATGTAATAACAAAACTGATACAAGATGTGTTATCCCTGACCCAATGAGGCACGTGTCTTAAAATGTAACACATTATTTAGTTTTTTAAATCCAATTGTTTTTATATATATATAGTGCTGAATAACAATAGTCACCTCAACACACTTTACATTGTAAGGTAAAGACCCTACAATATTACAGAGGAAAACCTCAATGATCAGATGACCCGCTATGAGTAAGAACTTTGCGACAGTGGGAAGAAAAAACTCACTTTTTATAGGAAGAAACCTCCAACAAAACCATGCTGAGGGAGGAGCCGCGTCTGTCGACATCTGGGCTTGTTTCACATCGTAGGATGAAGATGTTGAACATCAACATAAATTCCATGACTCAAAGTTTTTGTCATGATCAGTGTTATTCTTTTTACCTGACAGTGCTCTAGGCGTACTAAAATAATTAAGATTAGTGTAGACACAGAGCTCACAATGTGGGACCCAGATTATTGTATTTTAGTACTGCAAACACCCAAATGCGCTGTTAATTAAAGCCTCGAAAACCTAATGAGACAACACGAACGTGGGGTTTCAAAGGCCACAAGGGGTCCAGAGCAATCGGCTGCTTTTATCTAGAAGGTAATCCAAAGGGTTGGTGTGGATCAGAGAAGAATCAGTGGCAGCAAAGCAGGTATGTATCAAGCTGATAAATCGGAGTGAATCAGTGTGATACAGGTATAATAGCATCTGCTGAAATACACAATCCTGCACGCTGACAGTGAACAAAAACCAGGCTGTATGTGGATGACCCATATATGTAAAAAACTTGTTGAAGCAGGCGATGCGACATCAAAAGTTGTTTTTCCTCAAAAAGCGCAGTGCAGTCCAATTTAATTGCACCCTGCATAGCTGTGAATACAAGTTTCCACTGCAGCCTCCCAGGAAGGGGTAACCATTCACGCTTATGAACTCAAGCGCTGGAAATTCAACAATTACTGTGAATCTAACTAACGGGAAGCTTCTGAGTGCCCCTTACTGCTACTCAAAAGATACCTAGTGTTACGAAATGAGGAAGCTGAGAAAGGTTACTTAAGACAAAGAAATACATGGCAACAAATAGCAATGTGTTCACTTTACATTTTACATGGGAAAATAAAACTGAATGAATTAACTGGAGCAATAAATGTAAGACATAAAATGCTCCATGCAAACATAACTGCCTCTGATACACCTCAAGAATAAAGAGGTTAGATTATTGTTTTGAAAATGTGGAAAAACACACCTTAGTACACTGCCCAAAAATAAATAAATGAAAGGAACACTTTTTAATCACATTATAGGATCGAATCATTTAAACCTCTGGGATGGATTGGATTTGGATTTTGCAGACTTTCACTGGAATTCTTAATAGGAGCTCGAAAGAGATGTCAGAACAAGTGAATGAGGCCGTGATTACGTCAAGTTTGGCTGTGTGAGATGGCTTTCTGATTTAATGTGTGCACAGAAAGCCATTACAAGAGCAACATAGCGATCAAACAATCTATGGGAAAATTCCAAAACAAAGGTATTTTTTATTATATATGCTCCTATATTACATACATATAAAATATACAACATATCATAAGTTATTTTGCATTTGGAGGCTTTGCTGCTAGAAGCACATACTGGTGGCAGCAGTGGTTCTCCTGGTCAGTCTCACACGGACAAAAAAATCCCCCACTAATCATTGTAGTTTATTCTGCTTGGTAGCGGCACCCTTTATTGTACCTTGCGGACAAAAACTACAAATCCCATACTGCCGCGCTACACTGCAGCCCCGCCCCCTGCGTTTGAATGGCAAGTTGTTTGTTTCACTCCAACCAGCTGCTAACTATTCCAGTCGGAGAGCAAACACGGGGAGCAGCGGTCCTCTGCTCTCCATTTAAGAAGGCCGACAAGCTGAGGGAAGCTGGCTAGAAAGCCACTTCCGTTTGAACATTTTTCTTCAAAGTAAGGGCATAGAAAAGAAAACCACATTAAAACTGCCTTTATCCATTCAAATCAATGAGTCTTCAAAGTGAAGTCGATATATTTGGGAATACTGAGGTAATAAACCTTGGAGCCAATTCCCAAGATTATTAAAAATAATAAGAGACACAAACTAGGTAGTAGTTATTTCTAATGGGAAACTTATGCAAATGTTTATACTACTACTACTAATAATAATAACAACAATGATAATAGTTTAAGACAACAGATATAAACAGCAGATAATATAAGACTTAGCAGAGACTTGGAATGGATATTTTTTAAGGCAGATAAAACATTTGGGAGCCTCTCCCTGGCAAAAAAAACAAACAAACAAAAAAAACAGCTGCCGGGCGCTTTTATTTTGAAAAACACCAGACAGGAAGTGTCAACGTTTCCGTTGGAGGTTTGACAGCAGGTCCGTTTTTACCGCTTTGCTTTCTTTATTCCACCCTGTCGCCCTGCTTCTTTCTCTGTTAAATACGTCTCGGCCTGCCCTCTGAGTATATTTATTTATTCATGCATCTAATTTGAAAATATTTAGCTTTTTTTTTTCTTTTTTACATTTTAGTCCTTCCTCAAATGAGAAGACGTAAAAGATGGAGCTTCATATTTTAGAGCACAGCTTGAAAGTGGCGAGTATAGAGAAAGAAGGGATCCAGATTTGCACTCACGGATTAATAAAACTCGCCTTCCTGGCCTCCAAAACAAGGTAGGTAACTTCCCATTCGTGACGTCCACGTAAAAACACAACCTTTGAATGTTTTTCCATTGCCCTAAGTGCTGTTTACTGTTAACATTAGAGCAAAGTAATGCCCGGGGCTGCATGGACTTGTATGCTTGTGTTACAGAAGGTAGCGGTATTCGCTGGTGCTCCAGCCAGGTCCTTCACAAATGCGGCTGTATGTTTAATAGTCTCTGCTTCCAGTTTCCAGGCCTATCCTTGTTCTGTAGTGTCATTTTGTAGCTCCGTGCCATCTGTAGCTGGGTTGTAGCCAGCAGAAGTGTGTGTTTGTGTGTGGGGGGGTGTTTTACCTCTGTCAGGACTATTATAACAACATCAGGGAAAACTTAAACAAGCAGCAGAGGACATTTACACTCTATATATGCTGAATCCTGTCCAGCTGAGTGGATGTTAACAGCCAGTCAGCCTGACGAAACTTTCATTTAAATAGCCCTGGCAGTGACAGGATAGCAGGCCTGTACACTTACCATAGCTCTGTTGTGCAGTTTTTAACACTCTGTTAAAATAAGCCTAAGCAAATTAGTTCACACTCTTGGCTGTGTGTGTGTGTGTGTGTGTGTGTGTGTGTGTGTGTGTGTGTGTGTGTGTGT